TGGCAATCACAAGGCATTCTCTCAAAATGGGGGGAAAATGTTGTTTCTGGTGTCTTTTTATGAGAATAAACCTGAGGGATTCAATGGAACAATGGTTCAGTACCAACAGATAATGAATGGTGAATATTATATATGTTGTAATCAAGTTTTTAGCATAAGTTATTTGAAAAAGTATATGTAGAACTAAAAGGTTTATGTAGAACTAGGGAGCCGCCAAGGTATAGTGGCTAGATGCCACTAGATTTCAGAGGCCATGGGTTCAAATTCACATATAAGTTCAAAAATGATCTTGGCTCTTAGTTCAGTTCAGCCTAAAATGGGTACCAGGTAAAGTCCTGGGAAGTAAAGGCAGCCTTCATGATGTTAACAAATCACCCACTGAGCACAGACTCATCTATAAAATATAGGTCTGGCACCTTATACCAGCATAACAAAGGGGGTGGATAAGGGTCTCTTACTTGGATGTACAAGTAGACTGTAATGATATTGATGTAGCAATAGTAATAACACAGAAAGATAGTCATAGAACAACAATATTTCTCTTGTATGATTCCTACGTTTATTAACTGTGGAACAATGTGAGACATTGTTACTGTAATTATTCAACAGAAATCAGAATATCTATGAAGTTACAACAGCAAAACCATCCAGTAATACCGCAAGTAGGGGAGGTGCCGTAGTCTAGCAGCCGGATGCTCGCTGGCGGATCGGAGGGTTGTGGGTTCAGGTCCTGATGGACCCAGACTGTTTTTAAAAATGACCTTGACTCCCAGGTCAACCCAGCCTTAAAAGGGTACAAGGGTATTGTCCTGGGAAGTAAAGGTGGCCAGCGTGATGCTGACCACATCACGCACCAAGTGCTGACTGGCCTTAAAAATACCGGTCTTGCCCTATGTGCCCAGTATGCCCAAAGGCGTGGAAAAGTGTGTTACTTTACTATTGCAAGTATTTATTTCATGTCTGTAACATGACAAAAACTTGTTATTCACAAGCTTAGGGTGCTAGAAGAACATAGTACGACCCCAATATAATTTATAATCAGGTGATCCTTACAAGTAAACAGATCATTCAGATAGTCGGTATGCTTCCCTGACATTTCAGTTACTTTATCAACATCCTTTACAGGGCAATTCATAATTTTGAAATACCCATTTCTATTTAGGTAACAGCGGGAGGTCGATGAGCTGTGCAACTTTCTCAGTAAAACCCATTTCCTCATGCAAGAGTTTATTTCATTCAATCATTTATTCCAACACCAAATAACAAAACACAAGGCAACTAGAACTATTCAAGACCTAGTTAAAGTACAACACAACAATAACATACAAGACACTACTGACAACATAATGACTAGCAATGCACCTAATGTCAGAGAACATGTGAAGGAAACTGTGGAAACAAACATTAATAATGCAGGGAAATAAATGCTAAAACTGGATATATGATGTTACTGGTATTATTAAGTACTGGCTCCCTGTGCGGGTTCTGGGGCCACATTGAATAGGAAAACAAGAATAGACCAACTGCCTCCCCAACAAGCATGTCGTATACACAAAAAAGCCAGTAAAACAGATGTACACACAAAACTCAGGCCCTGGCACAAAGCCAAAATCCAAATGGACTAACAACTAGGACCTTTTGCCGGAGCTTACAGCCCGTGAACAAAGAAGAAGAAGAAGTACTGAACACACACAAAAACTGTCACAAAACTTTTTCGTTAAGTGTTCATGTACTGCTCCTGGAAAAGACTGAGTACTTGTGGACAATCCCAAATGCAGTGCTGTAAATTCTTCAGTCTTTACATGACTTCCCCTCTTATCACAAACAAAATTGGTTGACATCTTTGGCTGAAAAGATAGTTTTGTTCTCATACATGTTTCAGCTTTTCACAAACTGTTTTGAATTTAATACAGAAAATAAATGTATAGATGCAGACACTAATCACAAAGAATGGTAGCGTTTTTAGGTTACACTGTACAACAAAAATAGCTTGAGTGATGATGAAGAAGAAATTGTACCACTGGACCAAAACTGCAACTAAAATGATTAAGGAGAACTGTAAAACTGGAGGAAAGATGCAACCAAAGAGTGAAGGGGAACTGTAAAACTGGAGGAAAGATGCAACCAAAGAGTGAACGAGAACTGTAAAACTGGAAGAAAGATGCAACCAAAGAGTGAAGGAGAACTGTAAAACTGGAGGAAAGATGCAACCAAAGAGTGAAGGAGAACTGTAAAACTGGAGGAAAGATGCAACCAAAGAGTGAAGGAGAACTGTAAAACTGGAGGAAAGATGCAACCAAAGATTGAAGGAGAACTGTAAAACTGGAGGAAAGATGCAACCAAAGAGTGAAGGAGAAAAACAATAGTAAGATGAACTGAGAACAGATTCTGGAAACATCTTATCCAAACAAATAAAGGGAACATACTCTCAAAGATGTATGCAACAGTTTCACACAACAGAGTAAATACAAGGCAGATGTGGTCAAGGCCCTTTAGGAACAAGCAATGAAATTGTAGAGAAACAAGATTATTGTGGCCTGGAGAGAATGAGGCACCTAGGTGTAACCAGAGGGTCTGGTCGGCTCACTACACTCAGAGGACAGACAAGACGGACATATAACCATTGGAACTCTGCGCTGGCTGCTGAGGATGAGAACGGAGCATGCATGGGAATGCCCCGAGTGCTGTGATGTCAATTCTTGACTCAACTCAACAACAGAGTAAATAATGCTGCTCACACAAAATTATTTGACTCAACTAACTTGCTTAGACAAATGTCAGAGAGAAATAAAAGCATTTTCATGAGATTCATTTACTGTGTGAATACTTTGTAAGTTTTAAGAATCACAGCTTAAAAAAGATGTTTCTCAGCTGATGGTCCTTACTTTTGCTGCTTCTGTGCTGCCGCTGACAAGGGCAGGTTGGTAATGTTGTGTTGTAGTTTACAGCTAGACTGCAGTATCTGCATATCTGCACTTTTTGTCTGAGCACATCCAATTTCAGAAAATTCCAGGTAGTAATTCTATTATGTTTTGCCACAAAATGCGGCCTCGGGACTCATTTGGGGATGTCCTTCCTTACCGCCCATGTTCCACATGCGTATAAAAGTAAAAGTTCCGTATAGCAACTCACACAATGTCTGCAGAATGCATCTCCCTGACAAGCTGAATGTGGGTTTCAATGAACAAATGCAGCATCACTTGATGGTGCAGAAACATGATCACGGTGCAGGAACACGACCCACAGGTGTTACTAAAATGAAATCATTTTGCTGTTTGTTTTATATATTACCTAATTCAGTACCAAGACAGAAGGAAAATAGTCAGGACAGAATTGAAATGTTTACGTACTATGCTAGGTGTAGAAACAGATGAAGGACAGAAATGAAATGTTCACCTTCTATGCTAGGTGTAGAAACAGATAAAGGACAGAAATGAAATATTTACGTACCATGCTAGGTGTAGAAACAGATAAAGGACAGAAATGAAATATTTACTTACCATGCTAGGTGTAGAAACAGATAAATGACAGAAATGAAATATTTACGTACTATGCTAGGTGTAGAAACAGATAAAGGACAGAAATGAAATGTTTACATACTATGCTAGGTGTAGAAACAGATAAGGGACAGAAATGAAACGTTTACGTACTATGCTAGGTGTAGAAACAGATAAAGGACAGAAATGAAATGTTTACGTACTATGCTAGGTGTAGAAACAGATAAAGGACAGAAATGAAATGTTTACGTACTATGCTAGGTGTAGAAACAGATAAAGAAATGCTTCCCTAGTACTTAAAGATCTAAATTATAACAACACTGATTAAAGTAACAGTTTCAAAGTTTTTATGAACCAAGCAATGTATCTTCTTGTAATGTGTAATGATCAACCAGCAAAATTTTGACCACATCACCCAGTGAGTGATGTCTGGCTAAAAAAAAATAAAGGTCTAGCCAGCCATATGTGCCCAATATGCCTTAAGGTATGGAAAGTGATCATTAACATTACTTTTTTTTTTTACAAGTGTAATGATCAGGGTAGAAAAGTAAAGAAGTTGAAATACCTGCCCTTAGACTAAAGGTAAAGGAAGTTCTATTAAAGTAACTGATGTTGAGCAATGAAGGGCTAATCCTTCACATTCTAGGCCCTGACATATAAGATTGGTGGCCAGTTCCCTTATCTAGCTTCTTTCCTTTTGCCAGACAATTCCTGCAAAAAGTTGCAAAAGTGTCATCCATATTTAAAAAGGCTGGATCACACAGAGCCATACTGGTTGGGAAAGTTGAAAAATGTCTGACATCCATTATCAAAAAGGCTAAATTTCACAACTTTGGCAATGCTAAATCCCCGTGTGGGTTCCAGGGCCCTCTTATATGGAAAACAAGAATAGACCCACTGCCTACCCAAAAGCATGTCGTAAAGTCGACTAACTGGGAGCTTCCTTTGAAGTCAGAGTGCATCTGCCTGGAAGTCTGCATACAAATGAGTCAGATCTGTCAAATGGATGCACAGGCAACACTCAGGTTCTGGAACAGGACTGCAGTCCGAAAGTGGATGAACAACCAGAATTTTCCGCCAGAGTTTACAGCTGGTGAACTTGAAGAAGAAGAAGGGAATGCTAAAGCCTATCTAAAATTTAGTTTTTAAAAGGCCGAATCCCACTGCCAGAGTGGTCAGTAAAGCAGAAAACTGACATCCATTTTTGAAAAGGCTGTTAACTCAATAGCCCCATTGGCTGGTGAAACTACAAGACTATTTATCATTAGAAAATTATTGAAACACGTGGAAAGATATATAAAAATTTAAAGTTGGGTCCGTGAAAATGAACATTCAATTCTGGCAGTTCCTTTTCATTAAAATTTTAAAAATACATGTATAAGGCATTATACTCAACAAGATATAAATAACACAATTTTTTTAAAAACACAGTTTAAAAAAATTAAGTAAAAGGATTCACAATTCACACAAATTCATTCATAAACTGTTCTAACAGAAATAATATTATTTTACTTTGCCAGCTTGAGGTTGTGCATCTAGTATGCCAGATTTTTTGGTGGTATCTTCTCTTGTCAATTTATGATGTTTAGCCAATTCGTGATGTATATTACTATTGCTAGAATTCTGATGCATTTTCTCTTTATGTGGTTTTTGTGGTGTAACTTCCACTGGTGTGGTCTTTTTATTTTTAGCCTGATAATGAAATATAAGCTTGGCCAGTTGAGACCTTGTTCCGAGACTCTGCACTCGTCTCTCTACACACCTTTCATACAAAACAGACGGACTTTTTGGATGGCATTCTAACTGCATGTAGTAGTGTTTGAACTCTGGCTCCACGGCTCGGAAAACATGCAGCTTACCATATTTCACAAACATTTCATAGATATCACAGTTTAGTAATTCTGAACTTGTCAAGGATTTCCGTGCATCTTTGTAATCTGTATTATAGAAACTCCCATGTTCAAAAGAAAGTACATCATAATGACCTGCCCTGCTGGTAAATTCAATATCCACAGGATATGGCTTCCTTTCATAAATCAGATTTGGCCTATACTGCCAGAAACCTATAGGAAAAAACACCTGCCAGCCTGCAATGGTATTAATGCGCACCCTGTTGAGCATTTCTGTGTTCACAATCATGCCAATAGAGCCCATTAGCATCAGAGCATCGTTGTTCAAGTTACTGCTCACCTGGTGAAGAAAAAAGATTTAAAATATTTAAATTCTTCAAAAAACCGTACTGAATTTGAATGGGTAATAAAAAGATTAATGACGAAACATATCAAGTGTATGATGTAAGACCTATATTTTGATAGACCAATTGGTACATGACGGGCATTGTAGTCAGCATCACACTAACCAAATTTACTTACCAGGCAATTTCTTGTTGGACATTTTTTTGCTAGACTGACCTAGTAGCCCGGATAAGTAATAAAAATCCACATCACTGTGGATCTGAAAATAAAGACATCCAAGTTGATAGACAAAGGTCTAGTCACTTCGCTATCATGATTCCCAAACAATGAATTACATTAATTTAAAAAAAAACCAGCAGTAAATGGTAGGAAGAGTCAAAAGTTACAAGGACACAATCTAAAGTACCAGAGCATGTTGTGGTAGCAAGCCTTCATCTGTGAAAGAAAAAAAAGGAAAAAAACATAAAAGGGGTGCTTAAATAACACTTAGGCAGGGGAATGTGCAACAAAAGAGCTGTTACATGTTGTTTGTCCATCAGGAGCGATGAAGACCACTTTTCATCCAATGAATTAATGATCAATGATTATGTGTAATTAGGTGGCTGATTAGTCCAATATGAGCCTGTAAAGTTCTTGAGCAGTGTGGACAATAGGTGCAAGCTGCAGTAGCTGTTGGATTAGCAATGTCGTTCTTTTTAGTTTGCCTCTGTTTCTCTGCCTGGCAGGCTGATGAACAATGCCTGAGGGATGTGCATCATCCAAAATGGTCTCGTGCAGCAGCCTCCCACATCGCTGTGTTGATACCAAAAGAATTGAGAGCAGTTTTGAGAGTGTATAGCATTTTTTTTTGGTTCTCCTGGGACCTCTTTCCTTGCTGGAGCTCTCCATAAAGTACTCTTTTTTGGAGGTGACAGTTTGGCACACGAGCTAGGTGACCAGCCCAATGCAGCTGATAATTCTTCAGTATCATGTGGATGCTATGCAGGTTTGCCCTATCAAGAACAACAGTATTTGATTTGGGATCTTGCCATTTGATTTTGAGCAGCTTTCTGAGACTAGATATATGAAACTGATTCAGCTTTTTAGCATGGCGCTGATACACAGTCCAAGTTTCGCAAATGTTGAGCAGTACTGGGAGAATTACAGCTTTGTAGACCTTTTTTACATACTACCAAAAAAAAGGAGTTAAATCGATTAGGAAAACCACCAGCCCCAGCATAAGATGACTACTCTATTATGGACATCAGAACAAGTCATTATCCTTCCCCTCAGAACAGGGCCCAACCAATTACACAACCACATGTACAAAAAGTTCATGATAGGTGAATTAACCATGTGCACATGTGAAAAGTTGCCCAGGTCAGCAGAACATGTACTGCAGGACTGCAGCGAATATGACTCATTAGGGCAAAAAATTTCGCCAGAAAGAAAAACAGTGGAACGTAAACTTTACGGATGAATGAATGAGCTTAAAAAATGACTAAAATTTACACAAGAGTAAAAATTTCTGACTTAGACAGCTTATTTCAGATGAAGGAAAAAAGAATAAGAAATTAGGCACAATAACATGCAAACGCATACACCCAAAACAGACAAACGGAATAAAGAGACATAAAAGTCTTCATATTAGCACTGGAAAACCCTGACAGGAGGAAGCAGTAAGGATTAGGCCCCGCATGTATGTAAATGTTTTTGGGTTTAATGTGACTGTCTTCTACTGCCCCTGTTATCCCATTCTAGGGTAGAGTAAGGCAAGGGGTCAGCTTAAGCCTGAGGATTTAAGGCTGCGTGGCTAGTGCAGTCATCACACGCTGCCCAGGTAGAAAATTATTTTTCCTCCGCAGAAGAAATCCCATAACTTTGCCTATGATCTGAACACAGGCTTCTCAAAACAGACTATATGTTTTTATCATTTCATAAACATGAAAGAATATTTATGGGCCATGCAGATTGGTCAACCAAAATGAACGAAATAATGAGCAATCTGTCTCTATAGTAGTGTTCACACCAATTTAGAGATTCAGTGCTTTGGACTGGGTGAATTATCCATCCTCCTAGCAGGTCACATTTAATCAAACACACAGCAATCTTCAATATCATCTTCCTGACAAGTTTAAGAGTGGTCTGTTGCATCTTTGTGTTTTGTACAATATTCCCATGATATCTTGTCACTTGCTTCAGCCCTGCCAAACTTATAGCAATGAACATAAGCAAATACATAATTAACAAAATTCATTTCAACAACAACAAAACAAAACAAAATTTTATAACATCATCATCACGAAGCAGGTCCTTTGCAGAATGTTGCTCCTATCACAGCCCACCTGAAAGAAATTAGATCTCACGTCAGCTCTCCTGCACTTTCCTACCTAAGGTATCTCTGATATTTTGTGCCATTTGTGCTAGTTGGTTACTGCCCCCTTCCCTAGTATCATGCCCTCCACTTTTGGTTGTTGTTTTGGTTTTTTTAATCAACTGTGGCACTTAATATGGCCAAAATATTTGTTTCTGAGTCAAGATTCTTTTTTTTCTAATACTCATATTTTTAAGGATGTCAGAATTTCTTTTCCACTTGGCCAATAGTATTCTGGGATCCTTCTATAGCATTTAAGTTCAAAATCCCCACATTTCTTCCTTAATTAATGTCTTCAAAGTGGTATATGACTCACATTCACATGTTGCTAGAGGAGAGATGCATGCTCTCAAAATTTTGACTGTCATTTCCTGATTACCTATATGGTACTTAGCCATTGACTTTTTTAACAGGTTTCTTTGCATGATACTGTGGTGGTTTCCCCTTGCTTACTACATCCACATGGTTTCAGACTAGGTCCTCAGCCTTTAGCAACCTTTCAAACTGCCACAGTAAGTATCCTGTTCTGTTATTAGTATCCTAACAGCAGAGTGCATCCCAGAGGTGTCCGCTCAACCTGGTCAATACTGGGCTCCCACATTGTGTTTTTCTTTCTCTTTGCAGAGTTCTGAGGCCAGAACAGCATTTCTCAAAACTCTCCAGTGCTTGTAGAGGACAACAATGTTACAAACATACAACTAACTACTACTTTTATTACAGACAATAATCTGCAGGTTTCAGTGCGAATAAGCAAGTCAAATGTCCAGCATTTCCTATATCTTGCCATGATGGGTCTTAAATCTTCTTCCCAATCCATCTCTTTGCATGTTTTCTTCACATTAACAGATTTTCTTCCTCTTATTTCCTTCCACTTTTTCTTGTAGATTTCCAACAGTGTGTTGTCTTTTTATGTGCACAAAATATTTTATTTACCAAACCTTGATCTTGTTCACTTATTTTCTTTAATCCTAGTATGCTGAAGTCTTTTTCAATTTTTCTTGTCTTTTCATGATATTTGCCCGATTTTTCCGTGTCTTTCCATATTTGCCCTATTTTTCTTGTCTTTCCATGATATCTGCCCAATTTTTCCTTCTTTTTCCATGATATTTGCCCATTTTTTCCTTGTCCTTCCATGTTATCTGCCAAATTTTTCTAGTCTGTCCACGAAATTTGCCCAATTTTTCCTTGTCTTTCCATGATATCAGCCTCATTTTTATTGTCTTTCCATTATATTTGCCCCATTTTTCCATTCTAATGGACCTCAGTCTTACTGTATATTTACAACGGATGTTATTGAGAAGTATTATTCATGATTTAACATTCAATGCAACACTGTATGACTACAGGAGATATGTATCAAATGAGAGTTCGAGGAAAACACAGAGAAATGATTCTTGGCAGTATTTTATTCTGCCATAAAATAATAATTAATTCTGTTGGAGACTGCAAATTATGGAGAAGCATGACCACCCATGCTAGTCAGCAAAACATTTGATGATGATGAGGAAGATGGTGATGATAGCATATGATGGAGGACAATATAGTAGATAAGTTAACTGAATATCCTTTACAGTACATTGTAAACCAACCTGCTGGCTGTTTATGATTTTGCTAGGTAATTTTCACATAGTTTGCCACTGATTTCTCAATGGTTCGATGCTCATAACAATGACAATATAAAGAGAATACCATCACAATATAACAATGCAAAATACACATATCACTTGGTGACTGTTTTCACTCTCTAGAATTACTTACCAAGTCTATGATCTGAAAGTCTGGAATGTACGTCTCATTGAAGGCAAAGTTTAATATTATGGTCTTGATGCCAGCCTTGGCTTTTTCATCATGATATTTAGCCATTGATTTGACAACAGAGTAAACATCGTCTTCTGCAGTTTTAGGAAAGGACTGGTATACGAAAACCAGGACTAGGGCTAGCCTGTCCTCTGCTTCTTTCTGCAGGGAGAAAGTAACGTTTATGTTGATTTTAAATGTTTTATTGATCTGTTTATCTGTCCCTCTGTCTGCATGTGTGTCTGTTGTGTCATTGTATCAGCCTGTCTGTCTCCCCTGATCTGCCAATTATTTATTTTTTCTATGTTTTACTTTAAAACTAATATTTTAAACTAGTAAGTGATTTCAGAGAACATCAAAGAATCAAGTGCTGTGATCATCTGGTCAGAACTGAATCAAATCACCAACATCTAGAGCATACTACATGAAAACAACAAGTTACAAATCAAGAGGCCAGCCAAGAAAGAAATGTATGGAGGGAGGAAAAAAGACACTACAGAAACACAATATGACATAAACGCAAGCTATGCAACTAGCAAAAGACAGGAAACTACATCTAACTACTCTGTGAGTTGCTTTAGGACATAAACAGTAGGACAAAAGAAGAAGATTTCAAACATTAGCTGTAAAGAATTTCACATGTCTTTCATATTTCTCTCTATTATAAGCTCTATCTCTAATCTTATCATATTTGAATTATCTATTGCACACAACATACAACAGACTTAAACAAATAAAGGACCTTTTATACACTGGGTTAGCATCGAGCATATGATGCTAAAATCACATTTTTCTAAACCATTTTGCATTTGATGGGTGATGTGGTTGACATCATACCTGCTGTCTTTACTTCCCATGACATTACCTAGTACCCATTTTTTTCTGGGTCAATCTGGGTGCCAAGGTTAATTTTCAACACTGGATGTGCATTAAAACAGACAAGTGTCTAGCCACTATAGTACTGTGACTTCCACCAAGGGTAATGCTAAATTTACATTCTACATAAAGTGACTTGCTAACTGTATTAGTAATCATGTTTCTCTGTTTCCTTAAGTCTCTAACGGGATGCATCAGACCATGTGCTGACACCTTTCTATGATGTAACAAAAGGCTGTCAAGATTCCTCTCTCACTGTCATTCTCTATCTTTTCCCATAACTTGTTCCGGGTAGTTAGTATCCTTTGGATATTCTCTCCAGTTCATGCCGCTGTGTTGGGAAATGAGCAGATAGATAGACTAGCTGGCTCTGCATCATTTGGTGGTTTATTGATGTATGGTTAGTTGTGTATCCTTTACAGGACGTTGCAGAACCAACCCCAGCAGCCCCTGGCTGTCGTGTGGTTTCTCTAGGCAAATTTACGTCCAGTAGTTTGCCATTGCTTTCTGGACGGTCGGCCCCCTGATACCACTGTCAAAATCAACCAAGGCACATGGCCCGCAATCACCAATAAACAGGGGGAAGACCTGGAGGATGCCCTAGTGTCTGCCGATCTAGTATGCTTGAACGACGGAAAGGTTACCCGAATGGCAACCCGACAAGGGGATTCTGACAGCGTAATTGACCTGGCCCTAGTGTCTCCCTCCATTGCATCAGGATGCAGGTGGAGCACACTGGGATACCATGACAGTGATCACTTTCCTTGCGTCGTCCTGGTAGAGAAGAGCAACAACAAAGGTCATGTAATCAATGTGCCTGCTTTTCTATATGACCGTACAGGGCAAGATGCCATTAGCAAAATCAGACGACGTAAAACAAGAGCAGATCGCAGACGGCGGGAGAGATGGGCCCAGCCACCATGGTGGAATGAAGTAGTCAACATGGCGTGGCTAGAAAAAAGGAACGCTGTCAAGGCATGGCAAAAGGCAAGGAAGATTGATCCGTCACTTTCTGAACGCCTGATCAGTCTAAAAGATGAGGTTAACAAGCGGACAGTGGCTTTCAAGTTAATTGCCAAAGAAGCCAAGACAGCGAAATGGAACGAATTCTGCAAGAGCGTTTGCTCCGAGGGATCTCTTGTGACATTCTGGCGCCTTCAACGGAGCATGCACGGCACCGCACGACCATGGGGTATCCCTGATTTTCAGGGTACAGACCTGATATGGCAGAGAACTGATGCTGATAAAGGAAAAACCCTTCTTGCGCGCTACTTGGAGCAAACCGACCAAAAAGACGAAGCTGCAAGAATAGGGGTTAAGATGAAACTGTCGATGCTGTGCGAGAACACTGAGCTAGGCACTGATTTCACAATCACTGCAGACACCTTAAGAACTTGCCTCAAGAAATCGCGCAGCACTGCTCCAGGCCCTGACGGCATCCGATACAATGACATGCTGATGATGTCGAATGCTGATTTGAAAAGCGTGGCAAAGGAATTCAATATCAGCATCCAGAGTGGCCAGATACAAGAGGAATGGCTCCATAGTTATTTGTTCCCACTACCAAAGCCTAATAAAGACCACTCAAAGATCTGTGGCTACAGAATCATCTCGATGCAGAATACTGTTGGCAAACTTTTGGAAAAAATTGTCGCACAAAGATTGACCACCTACTTGGAACTACATGATAAGTTCCCATCAACACTTGGAGGGTACAGGTTGAAGAAAGAGACATGGTTCAATGCTGCTGTTTTCGCCTACGATGTGTACGAGGGATTTCAGATTAAAGAAGAGACATGTGCGGCAGTGTTGGACTTAGAAGATGCCTACAATAAAGTACCATACGAATATTTAATGCAATTACTGCTTAAACTAGAAGTCAATCCTATTCTGATCCGCTGGATTGCTGCGGTCCTGTTCCAGAGAAAGATTGTACTAAGATGTGGTAGCTGGTCCTCAGAACCGCAAACGATATGTCCAGGCTTGCCACAGGGATCACCGCTATCACCAGTCTTATTCAACGTTTATACGGTGATGATCACTGAGCAGCAGTTGAATGGAAAGGGAAGGACTTTGTCATTTGCTGATGACATTTTGATTTATCGACGAGGGCGTGATAGACAGGAGATCGCCAGCACAATGCACAAAGAACTCGATCGAATTGCCGCCTGGTGTGATGGTTCCAATGCCTATGTCAATCCTTCGAAGGCATCAGTGTCATGGTTCTCTTTGAACAATCACATTGTCAAGTCGGACTTACCAGAAGTGAAAATGCGTGATAATATATTGATCAGAACCAACGTTATGACGTTTCTCGGGGTGAGGTTCGATCGCAGCTTGTCATTCAAGGAACACGTTGACCATGTGATAACAAAAGCACGCAAAGGTCTATCTGCATTGAGGATTATGGCTGCTTCCAATATCGAGCAAAGACTACTAATACTTCTATTCTACGGTCTGGTCCTTTCACCCATTGAATACGCTCTGGCCATCCTCACTGTCAGTGCTACCCAAATTGAAAGACTCGAAAAGGTGCAAAATGAAGCCATGCGCATTATTTTGGGATGTACAAGAGACACATCCTGTGGAGCAATGAGGTATCTACTTGACTTTCCAACAATGAACCAAAGGATCAGGATGTGGAGGGCTCGGGCATACCTCAAAATATGTGCTGATAAGAAAACACCCACTGCATCAAGCGCTTTTTAGTGAAAAGGGCGACAGACTGAAGAGGGGAAAATCGTGGCTAGGTCGGGCAGAAGATGTTATTAGGCAAATATGCAGCCTAACCGACATCATACCTGGTGCAGAATGGATACCTGTGCCTCAGGCGTTTATTTGTACATTTTCCTGTATTGTCACACTCAACAGGCGATGTAGAGAAGAGAATCCTGTGTTGCTGTTAATGCAGAGGTCAACGCTCTCATCGGTGAAAATTCAGACGAAGCAGATGCACTAATCTATACAGACGGATCCGTTATACGCCAAAGAAGAAGCGCATGGGCATTTACAGCACGCTCAGCGGGCAGAACAGTCAAAGAAGCCAACGGTGCCTTCTCCATGACAACCAGCAGCATGACGATGGAGGTGATGGCAGTGACGCAAGCGTTTGCCTGGCTTGAAACACAAAAATACACCCGCATATGTATACTCAGTGATTCAATGAGTATGATCCGGAGGGTTAAGGCAGGTTCAGTGCGAAGACAATGGCTTGAATCGTTACAGAAGTCCACTGTGCGTGGAGTCACCTTTATTTTTGTTCCGGGACACGCAGGCGTCGATGGAAATGAAAGAGCTGACAGGTTGGCTGGATCCGCTATCACTACCGACGGTCGGCCTATGGATCATGCTGATATTATCAATGCCCTAAGAGAAATGGGAAGGATAGAGGACTTTGGTGGCAGTGAATCCACATCACTCGCCAGAATGGCAGACTTGGGAATTAAGATCGGCACAGCAAAAAACGAGACGCACACCGGACACGTCAGAAGACTTGTTAATCAACATAGAACTGGTACTATTAGCCATCGGACGTTGGGGTTCATACTGACGGGAGGATCTGAGCACCTATGGACATGTCCGGAGTGCAATGACGATAACCCAACTAACTAACTAACTAACTAACATGGCCCGCAGCTGGGATCGAACCCAGGACCCCAGCATTATGAAGCGTTCGCATCGACTTAGCCACAGAGCCGACCATTAATGTATGACAAGTTAGATATTGTGAGGGCCCTTTTGGAATGGGTGAACAGTACGGAGGTGCAGACAGATCATTGCGGTCTGAGGAGTTACCAGGGTATCTGGCCGATGCTCAACACTCAAGGGAAGGATGAGACAGATATACAATCAGACGGTTACTGGTACCATCGGATTTGGAACTCTGTGTTTGCTGCTGAAGATGGGGACTGATCACTTATGGGAGTGTAATGAGTCCTGTGATGTTGATTCTTAATTCAACATTCAACATTCCCATAACATTTTCAGTTATTAAATGATTATGATGTCATGTTCCAGCTTTGTTTTTCTCATTATGTGGTAAGAACAAGATAACTGCCTATTTCTGATTTTATTTTATTTTTAAACTCAATTCACATCTCCGTCTTTTTTTCTCTCGACCACTTAGACTATTAATTTTGGCTGACCAAGGAATTTAAAGCATTCTTATGCAAATCAACACTGTCAAAGCTTTATGGGATTTTTTTTTTTTATTGGTTTTTTTGTTCTGTCTAGGATTAACAGTCATAGGTTAAAACTGGTTCTAAGAAAAATGCAAGAATTCTTTTTCTAACCTCCAATGACAAGGGTGTAATGCATAAAATGTTCTTCTTTTTATAAAAAGCAGTTTAAAACCGTCCTGTTCTTTTCTTTATCTCATTTTCAACAAGGTAACTTTATTATTGGATGCTTAAACGAGTTACATATTATGATGTCAATAAAAATGTATCTTAACGGTACTATGCCACCATCATGGACAGTATTCTCAGTATAATGCAAGGGCTACATGTAATGACTGGAAACCCAATAATAAACAGCATTTTATGAAAATGTAGCAGGAAAAAAAAGGTAATAAGAAAAAGAGTAGACCATCTAGCTATTTTATGTGTGGCCTAGCGTGTGTGTAGGCTCAACACTTTAAATCCTATAGACATATGTAATTAACATCATCATCATGTAGCACGTCCTTTGCAGAACATTTCTCCCATCATGGTCTGCCTGAAAGAAACTCTGTCTCTCACCAGCTCTCCCGCTTCATGCACTTTCATATTCAAGGAGTCACTTATCTCGTATGCCCATCTTCATGTTGGTCGGCCCCTGTCCCTTCTTCCTCATATCATGCCTTCTGCAATTATTTTGTCCAATCCACCTTGGCACTTGATACGACTGAAATATTTCAGCTTCCCAGACAAGATGTTTGTTTATTCGACAATCTTCCTTGATGTTCAGATCTTTTAGAATATCAGCATTTCTTCTCTTCTTTGTCCACGGTATTTTGAAAATCATTTCAGCGCAAAAGCCACTATTTTCTTATTCCTTAAAAACTGGGGATTAACACAGTTAAATATATATCAGGGTGAACTGAGCTGAAAACCAACATCACTACTCTCACAGCATATACATATGTGCTATGTCCATCTTCAGTTCCAATACAGATAATGCCACTAGCAGTTTGATTATACAGATTAATAATATCTTCTTCTTCTGCACATTTACTGGCTACTAACTCTTGGGGAAAGTTTATGGTTGTTCGTCAACTTCTAGACTTAAACTTATTTCCAGAATTTAGAGTTTTACATGCACATCCATTTTATGGATCTAGCTCATTTGTCTGTAGTCTGTCTGTTCCTCTCTTTTCAATTTTAAGGCAGATGCACTTCCGATTTTGAAGGGACTTTTAGGATATGCTTGTTGGGGGTGGAGTGAGGAAGTGAGTCTATTTTTCTGTACCCCCACAATATAGCCCCAGAACCCAGGCGCGGACCAATAATAATATAACAGCAATACTAACAATAACCATGCTTACTTGTAAACTAGCATAGCTCTCCAAGAAGGAACCCAAACCATCCATGTCACGAACTGTGATAGGCAGGATAATGTGTACTCTGGTAGATTCTGTCACGTAGGGCATGGGAATTATCTCCACCTTAGAGGAAATAAACAAAATTCACTTCAATGACCAAGTATGTCATCTTCAAATTTTTCCCCAAAAAACACTGGGTTTCCATGTGATGGTTTCAGGGCTATGTTGGGAGGGAGGGATAGACTTAATGCCCATTAACGAGCAGGTCATAAAAGGGACTAATTATAGCTTGCTGAAACAAATGAGTTAGGCCAAACAGGCGCAGATATTATATTCTATCCGTAAACCTAATACAAAGTGCAGTTTAAAAGGAAAATGCAGAAGAAGAAGAATATTGGACAGGCTCAGTTGAAATATCTAAAAACCTTTGCAGGAAATATTACCAAACTAAACCTAATTTCAGCCAATCCTTCTCAGCCAATTTACAAGCATTATGGGTTTTTGTGTGCTGACAGAAATTTTTGGACAGTGGCCAATAGCTTTGTTACTGGCTACAACAGTAAAAACTGTGTAGACATAGCAGCTATGACTATATATGAAAAAAAAAGCAGTGATATTATCTGGGGTGAAAAGAATCACACATCTGAAAATTGTAAAGCCAAACATAACATCATAATAATCTCATAATCATGTGTTACTTTGCCAGACACGGCCAAATCAACAAAACTATTTTTATAATGGTAAAAAGGAAGGAAAGCAGTTAATTGTCTGCTCCATTTGTATTTAATTAATGAATTCCTTCAAGTTACAAATAAAATCCTTTTCTAAAATTTGTGAATGATAAGGATTAAAGAAAAAGAAAAATTCAATATTTTTAGTGATTGATGGCCACAAGGAAGCAGTGGCCTTCATGTTCTCCTGTCTGATCAGTGGTCTAGGGGTTCCAAGTTATTGGACTTTTATAAAAACTCACAGAGACTCAACATTTCTGCTTTTTTCTTCTCTTCCCCAAGTTTCTTAGGGTAGGGTTTTAGAAAATTACAAGTATGCCTGATTTTTTGTTTTGTTTTATGTATGACATCTGACAAAGATTCTGTTTTTAAGATTTTTACGCGGCGAAAAAGTTAAGGTCAAACGCAGAAGAAGAGGAAAGCCTCTACACAAATCTTACTTTGATGGATGCAAGTCCTCTCCCATGGACTAGATGACCTAGACACTAAATCGTCAAACTTTACTCATTCAGTGCAAAATAACTCACCATGTTTTACTGGTTATTCCATAATTAAATGCATTTTTCTCAATTCAACATTCATTCAGCAGTTACACTAACCCAGGGCTATTCAACTGGTAGCCCAAGTGCCAAATCTGGCCCGCAGAGTGCTAGCAAGTGGCCAGCTGATCCCTGTCAGATGTATTAATCTCATTCTTTGCTGGAGGTCAGGCCTCTGGTCCATGACGATCCTAACTGTCAACAATGTTGCCCCTGAGTAAGCATAGTCGAATAACCCTGCATTAACCTTTTTTTATATCACATTTTTCTCTAAAGTGGCATAATGGCTAGAAGCTCCCATTCTGGCCAAAGGTCTTGGGTTCAAATCCTCAGCAAGTCAGGTTTATTTAAACATTTGCCTCTGCTCCCAGGTTGACCTAGCCAAACATGGGTACCAGGTAATGTCCTGGCAAGCAAAGCAGCCGAAATGATACCGACCATATAACCCGCTAAGTGCTGATCAGTCAATAAAATTATGAGTCTATCATCATATTAACGTCCTTTACTTATTTGCTTTACAATTTTATCCTACAATAACTTTACTGGAACAATTTCATAACCAAATGTGCTATATTTTGGGTAACAAATGGTAAGATTATCATGAGTTAAAGTAACGCTAGATTGATCCAGAGGATTCACATGCAACCAGACTGTCTAGCCATATGATTATTCTTTTTAGCGAACAGAAGTGTATATCAAGCATCAATACATCAGCATTACAGAGACTCAAGTGTGTTTACTGTCTAGGACATGCATGAGTGTGAGAGAAAAGCAACAGCTACAGGGGCACTCATACTGGACAAAGGAGGAACTCTGAAGGTCATTTATGAACAAATGCTGCTAGAAAACACAAGGTCAGACGAAATAACATGTGGAAGAATGTGTGAACAGGGACTTAGGAGTGGATGCAGTAAGGAAGAATGTGTGAGAGGAAGAACGTATAATCAGTGTGCTATGGGAACAGATAGCATCTACACTTGCAATATGTATGCTCAGTGTGCTATGATGTCGAATTTCAAATCAAGCGATCAGTTTTCAAATCTTTGTATTTTACATTTTATTCAAGCAGCCATCGAGACCTGCAACTAAACATTTTAGCCTGGTCTATCACTTCATGCTTATTCATGTGTGAAAGCTTATTTAACATATGAATGATAGAGATTTTAAAAATAAATCTCTGTGATCCTAATTTTTTTAACAGGTCGAAGCATTGCAGCTGAACACGTTTTGTTTGTGTGATTTTGAATTTGTATCTAATTTATTTACTTTTTTCATGACAAACAAGAATGGTCTAGAACTCGGTTACAAAAAGACACTACTGAAGGAGATCTAAATTAGAAATTTAAAAAAAAAACGTATTTTGGTTACATCAATGGTATTAACCATGGATGTGATGTGTCAGAAAAGGACTACGAGAGTGTCAGAACAAATTCTAAATTATACACAAAGACAGCAATTTGTCCACTCTGTGTGGGTTCCAGGGCCCCACTGTGGGGAAAACGAGAACAGACTTACTGCCTCCCCAAAAAGCATGTCTTAGGAGTCGAATAACTGGGGACTTCTTTCTCAGTCAGAGTGCATCCACCCGGGCAGCAAGAAACAAGAACTGTACACAAATAAGCCAGTAAAACAATTGTACACACAAAACTTAGGCCCTGGCACACAGACAAAGTTCAAATTGACGAACAACAAGGATTCTCCACCGGAGTTTACAGGTGGTGAACAAAGAAGAAGAAGAAATGATTTGTCCACTTAGAGAATGCTCGGTGACACCATAAAATACAAGGTATAAATCAAAAGAGAGGGAGTCGCCGTGGCCGAGCGGCTAGACGCTCACCGCAGATCGGAAGGTCGTGGGTTCGCTCCCTGGCGGAGCCAGACTCATTTTCAAAAATGACCTTGGCTCCCAGGTCGACCCAGCCTTGAGTGAGTACCGGGTGCAGTCCAGGAAAAGGGAAGGCGGCCGGCATGATACTGACCACATCACCCATCTTGTGCCGATGGTCTATAAAAATATAGGTCTAGCCCTATATGCCCTATACGCCTAAAGGCGTGGAAAAGGGTCCTTTACTTTACTTTTTACTATAAATCAAAAGAGGAGACAGATGTAGAGACAAGAAAAAGATTTTTTAAAAATATCAGAGAAACTCTACAACACCAGGATGTATTTAAGGTCAAACTTAAAAAGAAAGAAGCAGAACCTCAAATCTCACTCGACACCCAAAGCGGTAAAAGAGGAGGTAAAGAAGAAGTATTTTATTATACCCCTTTAAACAGATTACCAGTCAATTTGAAAGCAACTATCCTACCTCTCCTAAGGGACGTACAAGGAAGACTCGCTTTTCAGTAACAGGCCGTTTGTCACTCTCAGCTGAAGGCAGTGACGTATCATCAAGTGCAAGGTCAAGTATGTACTCCATTCCTCGCTGGGGGTCAAATCGTCTGTACCCATTGATCAGATATGAGTACAAGTATTTGTTATTATACTTCCGATTTAGTTTTTCTATGGAGACTTTAATTACATCCTGAATATCCAACTTGTCTGCACCTGGAAGGAATAAGACAATATTTTAATATTACAAATAAATATGTTTGGAAAGCTAACAGGTGTTGTAAAGGTAAGAAAGCTAGTTGTGTGTCCTTTACAGGATGTTCTAGAACCAACCCCAGCCTTTTCCGGCTGTTTGTGACTTTACTAGGGAATTAAACTTTCAGTAGTCTGAAAGGTAAGAAACAACAACAAAATTAATTATTTTCTTATTTTCTTGATTCATTTTGTTGATCCTTCAATATATTTCTCAAAGTTTTAGAGTACACATCATTTGCAGCAAACAAACATAATCTACTGGTCTCAAGAATAATACCGTTAAAAACCCTAATTAAAAATGATGTTTAAAGGTGCTGGTCAACATCACTGAACTGGGTTTTATCCTATAGGGTTCAGTCTCTCTAAACAGAGCAGGTGCTAATTAGCAAGAGCTTCCATCAAAATACAGCTAAGTAGCACAGATGAAAAGCATTCCATGCAACAACAAAAAACGCAGTCCACAGTGTTGTACCAAGCATGGGCAACAAAGACATGACTCCAGTCTGTAAGTGGAAACTGCAATAGCAAACTATTCCAGCAAAATAAGTAACACTAAACTAGAATGTGTTACTGTAACAGACCTTTTTCACAATGCCATACATATAGTCACAGACCGATATTGTTATAGATCAGGCCAGCACTAGATGGGTGATGTGAACAAAGTCAGGCTGGCTACCTTCACTTCCCATCACATTTCTAGTTACCCAGTTTAGACTAGACCAGCCTGAAAGACCTAGGTCTAATATTAATGTTTTAAAAACAGAGATTCTAGCTTAAGAACCTCAGGCGGCTGTCAGGCATCCAGCCAGCCACTGTGATACTGTAAATCCTAGCATTAAGTGAAGAGTTACCTCTCATAAAGGCAGAAACCAAGAAATACGTGGTGTATTCCTTGGTAATGAATGGTTTAACAAACCCTTATTGTCCTTCTCCTCCTCTCCCTCCTAAGCCTCTTTTATCAGAATGTAAGACATGAATGGCAAAGAACCAGCTTGCATACTCTCATTCATTCTCTGATGGTATTATCCTCTCTGCTTTTCAAGTTAAACCATGCAGGCAGTAAGTAATATGATACTTTAATAATGTGCAAATGATAAAGCTAATTCTCCGTGAGACATTTGCCGGTGTGTCTGGAAGTTTCATATTTAGTACTCTACGTGAGTACGCAGAAGTGTTTAACGGTGAGAGATGAAATATATATCTCTGGTTTTATCCTATAATGCTCAGTCTCTCAACACAGAGTGGTTGACACCCCATTACAGCCCTACACAAACACAAGGCCAATGGTTTAACCATTTTAACATGGACAGCGCTTTCATGTCTAGGATTTATTTTCTTTATATTTTTATTATGACCGCTGTGAATCCTTTGGAATCCAAAGTAAAAATTAACAATGACTGTAAAGTAAAAACAGGTCAATGAACATTATTTTTAAGTAGAACGTTATAATCCCCATCATCATCAAATACTTTGCCGATTGGCAACCCAAATTACGAGTGGGGGGGGGGGGGGATGTGACAGAAATTTCCATAACAATGCAATGTCTTGTAACCTGTCAATATTATTATTGAGGATGATAAGAGAGTTAAGCTTATGACATGGTGCAGACAAACATAGTGACATATTAGATTAAAGATAGCCACCCCACTTTTAACACACACCAGAAAAAGCAGCAATTTTTTTAAATATATATTTCTGGGGCAAGCAAATGGATTAATTGGATTTGCATTAATTGCAATGAGAAAGACAGTTTTAGCTAGCAAACATTTCGGTTCACTGATGGAGTCAAAGAATGAATTAAATTCCTGATCAGAGGTATCATTGTATCATTGTTTAGCATTTCAACAGTATTTTTCTCAGTGCAACTAACAGCTTTTTACAGACCTTTTTTTTCTTCTCCCCAAGTCATAGGTGACAGGACAGTCTAATATCACAGAGGTGTTCCAAAATAGATAAAGAGATCATTACCAATGTCAAGCTGAAGCTGCTGTTGGTGTGTGTGCTAAGCATTGCCGTTGCCAACTGTGGCGGCGGGGCAGGTGAAAGATAGTTAGTAATGTGGCATATCAATTGTCTTGCAGTTTTTTATGTGCTTGGACTTGGCCTAAAACCCACAGAGAAATACTATACACTCAACCACCTGCCCTATATTCTAGCCCATTCTCTACTTGTAAAAAGGGCCACATTCACAAAGACTTACCTATGAGTTCTTTAACATTTGTAAAGTCATCTTGAAAGAATATGTGTGTTTCTGTGAAATAGTCCCAGCGAATAAGATCAAATCTGTTCTTGGGACTGTGTGGCTCTGGAACACCTAGAACAACAACATATCCAATAAAGGATAAATTTATTACAGTTTCTTAAAAATGCTTGCTGCTTGTCAACTCCTAAAGTCTCGGAGATTTGGAAGATGTACAAAAAGGGAGATATTCACTGAGAAAAATCATCAGTTATAACTCTTAAAGATGTTAAATAATGTTCTTTGGGCTGTGTAAGTTCGGAATATTTAGAATGACAACATACACAACAAAGGACTAATTTATTATAGTTCCCTTTTTTTTTTACCCATCAGAACACTTTCCATCCAGTATACAATTCCTGAATGCCCAATCAGTCTCCAGTTTGGAAATTCAAGACTGAAGACCCAAAACTTTTCCTGTGCAGTAGGCTAGTTAGTCAGTTAGCCTTTTCTCTTGAGCCTAGGACAGTGCATAGGGCAGAGGTCATAGCTCTCCACGTCTGGCGGTTCTTTGCAACCTGTTTAAGTTCTTGGATGTTTATCAGGTCCATGGTTGGGCTTCCCAGATAGTTCTACACAGGGTTTCTCTTGTTCTTCCCCATTTTCTTTTTAATTATGGTATCCATATGAGGGCTTGCTGTAGTAGGTACCTCCAGAATATTGACCCTGCACTGCAGACATGCTCTCAGCATGCAGAAGAAAGATCCCAGGACGGACCAGTTTATATTATGGTGGAAACCAAGATGCCTGGATCACTGGAGGACATGTCTTGCATCACAGCCTTCATAGAGGCCTGTAGCCTTCTCATCAGAAAACCACTGGCAGGGATAACTTTGTATTCTTCTTCTACTTCCTGTTCACCAACTATAAACTCCAGTAGAAAGTCCTGGTTATTTGTCTAGTTCTAGTCTTTTGTTCCCAAACTTGAAATTTTATGTGTGTGAAACCTCAAAGAGGCTAATTACATATGAGAGTAGAAACTGGAGATATCAGATTTCTAGTAAGCTGTAATCAAGTTCTGAAACACTAGAATAACAAGACAAGCAAAAAAGGAAGTAAATGACCCTTTTCATTTTTAGAAACAGTCCATTCCATCAGGGAGCAAACTCCCGACCTTCTGATCCACAGGTGAGCGTCTAGCTGCTCCGCCACGGCAACTCCCCACATGCAATAAAGGACCAATTTATTATAGTTTGTGTACAAATTTGTGGACTATAAAGCTGCCAACAACCATCTGAGACAAAGTGAGAAATTATACCACCAGACAGACTGTGCGGGAACAATATCATTTAATTAATTCATTGAGATACAGAAGATCAAATTGTTTGGTCATCTCATTAGAATTCAGGAAAGAACTTCTAAATGTTTTTTTTTTTCAATAATGAAATTTATCCCAGTTCAAAATATGTAAATATATTGTGCTTATATTGTGTACAAATGTTTCTTAGCATGCATATGTGTGTGCAAGGGTGCTTGACATGTATGTATGTGCATAGGTTAGTCAATTCTATGTGTGTACATATGTATGTGCCTTCCTTGTGCTGTTTGAGTGTGTGGGGGAGGGGTGCGAGAGGTGTGTGCAAATATTTAGCTTTTGTGTGTAATACAAACTATCTTTCATATTTGTGTGTGCATGCACTGTTATTTGGTTGCATAGGGAGGCATGTGTGTGTGCCTACATCTCTCTCTTCCTCTCCACTTTCTCTCCCCCTCTCTCCAATTGCCCCCCCCCCTTTTTCCGAGACTTTAAAGTGACTACAAATGTAACTAAACAGCCAAAGCTGCATGGGAAAGATATGAAAAGAACTACAAGAGATAACAGCAGATAGGAATGCTTAGCAGAAGATGGCTGAGGGGGTTTGTTCCATCGGGGGTTAAAAGGAGAAGTAGGGAGGCAAAGAGGAGAAGAAGGAGGAGAATGTAATGTAGAAGAATAGATAAGATAAATGGGGATGAAGATGATAATGTATCAGATAAGCAAGTGAGAGGGGAAGAACGAGGATGATGTAGAAGAAAGGGAAGGAGGAGGAGAATGTTCCTTATTATTCTTTACAACATTTCTTACTGCGGACAGACAGACAGACAGACAGACAGACAGTCAGGCAGGCAGGCAGGCAGACAGACAGACAGACAGACAGAGACACACACACACACACACACACACACACGAACGCACACACACACAAACAAATTCTCAAAAGTTTTCAACGGATAAAGTATTCAGGTAAGTAACTACCGTAAAATAGACTGAAACATTTTACCACCTTTAAAAAAAAACAGAAACAAAATTACTTAAGATATCAAGTTAAACTGTTGAAGGACACAAGAAGATAACATTCACTTTAAGAATATCAATGCCTTAAAAACAAGCTAAATTATAATTATGACCTTCATCAATCACACTGAAGGAGAAACTGGATGGAAGCCGGTGACTAATTACGTGTATGCAATATACGTAAACCGTAATGCAATATATGTAAACTGTAATGCAATATACGTAAACCGTAATGCAAGTATTTTTTAAAGTAAAAAAAGTAAAAGATCTTTTTCACAATTTGCTATCCAAGTCATCTCCTTGTAGGTTGCATTTTTTTTATTTTGAAGCCTTACCCTTGCTTTTGCAGGGGGATGGGGATCCTGAATATAGCTGGGCCATAAATATGGCCTCGCCATAGATATGGCTGAAATATAATGGCTGAAAGGGGTTTCTGGGACCTCTCCACGGGTGATCCTTATCTGCATGATGGCACTTTGTGTCACCGGATGTTTGTCACTTGTGTGATGTCCTGGCCAGGTACAACTACCTACCTATCTACCTTCACACTTTGCGGTGCATTATGTATTCATTTATTAATTCATTCATTCATTGTCCTGTTGGTCCATTATATGTAACATAGGGCTTACAATTGATATCTCCATTCCACTCTATCCTGTGCAATCACTTTAATATCATGGACAGAGTCCAGTTCAGCACCTTTGACTTCTTTCATTAACATCTGACTTTGGGTTTCTCTTGGACGTCCTTGTTTCCTCATTCCCGTTACTTCACATTTCAGTGTCTGTTTGGCGATTCTCTGTCTCTTCTCAGAATGTGTCCAATCGTCTCTGTCTCTTCTCAGAACGTGTCCAATCGCCTCTGTCTCTTCTCAGAATGTGTCCAATCGTGCCATCTTCTCTGTCTTATAACTGTTGATATTAGTGGTTACCCAGGCATTTTTCTTATTTATTTACGCCTCTTGTATTCATCATACCTGGGTGGGTTTCAGGGCCCTATTGTGGGGAAAACAAAAATAGACCCCACTGCCTTCCCAACAAGCATATTGTAAGAGTGGGAGCTTCTTTCAAAGTCAGGGTATATCTGCACGAGAAACAAAGAACAATCAGCTGTACACAAATGTGCCAATAAAACAGATTTACACCAAAACTCAGGCCCTGGCACGAAGCCAAAGTCCAAATGGACGAACAACCAGGCTTTCCGCCGCAGATTACAGCCAGTCTTTTTCTTTTTCTTTGATCCTTCTATCAGAAAACTTATTTAGTCCATATCTTCTCGTGTACCATACACTTTGTCTTCATTGTGGTTGGAACAGCATACAGCTCAGTTGACAGTGTTGAAGCACATGCTCAGCATTTTCAGGTGCCAAGTTGCAGGAGCACGTCTCCGTGCTTCCTACATCGAATAGTTTAAACATATGTTGATGAAATCTGTTGTGCCCTGTCCTTAGTCTGAATATAATACACTGTGCACCGCTATAGAGGTGATGAAGCGAATCTTGAGAAGAAAATTTGGTGTGTGTATCCAGCCACCTTTCTTGGCTACTAGATAGTATTAATATCTTAGTCTCTTGGTAGGTTAAGTCATTATTGTGAACAAAGGGTTTAGTTTTAAAATGCATTGCATACCTCTAGTTGTTGTCTAACATTCCCTGGCAAATGTTGAAACTAAAATAGCATTAGAATCCAAAATGTGTAACTTGGTTCTAAAACTATAGCCTTTAAAAGCTGATGATGTCTTGCCAATGACTGCAAACATGGTTATTTGAAAAAATATTTACAGATTAAAACAATAGGCCCCTTTCACGCCTTTGGTCAACATGACGCAGCCACCTTTACTTTCCAAAACATTACCCGGTACACATTTAAGGATGGGCCGACCTGGAAACAAAAGGTCAATTCTGAAGAAAAAAATTGTGATCCGGATTTCAATTTGGTGTATGGTGCTAGCTTTTTATTTTTAAAGATAAATCAGCACTTCATTGAAATATGATGTGGCTAACATTATGCCAGCCACCTTTACTTATTAGGATGTTTCCTTGTTCTTATTTTATGCCCAGTCAACATGAAAACCCAGGTCAATTTTTAATCATTTGCTTCACTGCAAATTGAAAGTCAGGACTACCAGAGCAGAGGGAAAACAATATATACAGTCCAAAAAAAAAAAAAGAAATGGATAGCTACTGAAATGAACATACATTCTCACAATTTCGACATTCTGCATCTTTGTAATACAATAAGTGGAATTACTCATATTCATACAAGAATACCTTAGAGTTCCAAAATGAAAGGACATGTGGTTGAAGAATTTCACTGTAGTATCATTGAGCATTAGGCTTCCTTCAATGTGCACCAATTGACTCCTTCCGTTGTAACTGATCATTCCCCACGCCATTACACCTCCACCATGGTGCAGCAGAGCTTTATCTACACAGTTTTGGGCTAAGATACGACATCTTGATGACTGCAGTGAAGGAGGTCAGTCCATGGCTGGTGAATTGTGTTGCAGCTGTCCTCTATTCATGTCGGGTTGCTCTTCGACTGGGCTCATGGACCTCAGAACCATGCACTTTAGCCCCAGGACTGCCACATGGATCCGCCATCTCCCCTGTGCTTTTTAACATGTATACGAGCAAAATTGCAAGCCTAGAAGCACCAGGAGTTGGAAAGATACTGACTTTTGCAGACGATATAATTGCATATGGGCAGGGGGGAGAAAGGGAACAAACAGCCCTGGAGCTACAAGCGAGACAGTAGACAGAGTGGTGTACAGAAATGAGAGCTGTCAACCATCCGGAAAAGGTGTCTGTTTTGTGGTGTTCTCTAGACAACAGAGTCGTTAGAGCTAATGTCCCAAGTCTCACGATAAATGGTAGAAATGTCAACAGAGAGAGCAAACCGAAGTATCTGGGAATTACATTTCACATGAGCCTGTCCTTTAAGGACCATGTGGAGAGTGTTGTGACAAGATGCCAAAAAAGGACTAAGTGCACAAAAGACTATGGCTGCAATGGACCTAGAGCAGAGAATGCTTGTCACACTATATCAGCACCTGATCCTGTCAGTGGTTGATTATGGCCTTGGACTGCTTACCATCTCAAAGAGTCAGATGGACAAACTAGAGCGCATACAGAAAGCAACTATGTGGGTCATTCTGGGTTGCACCAGAGACACCCCAGTGGTGTGTATGCAATACATCCTTGGTTTGCCGACTGTTGCAGGTAGGCACAAGGTGCTGCAGGCGAAGTCATATCTTAGGGTAGCTGCAGACACAGACTACCCTGTGCATGAAGCTCTGGGTGCAGTTAAGGGTCAGCGGCTGATAAGAGAGAAGTCATAGATGGCTCAGGCAAAAGACACAATCAGACAGGTTTGCATCCTTGAGAACATTAGGCGAGTAGAAGAGTGAATCGAAGTGCCACGTGAACAGTCAAACGTGTAGGGTCATAATCACACTGAGCCGGTAATGCAGAGACTGGCCAGCAGGTGCCACAGAGGTGGAAATTCAGCAGTCAATTCAAGATAATGCTCGCTCAGAGGATTTGATCATTTACACAGACGGTTCACGGTCAAGAGGCAAAAGAAGTGCTTGTGCTTTCTTAGCAAAAGTTAATGGTCGACGTTTGGTGCAGCAGAGCCTAGCATATGATACCACAACATCCAGCTCAAGAATGGAGGTGGAGGTGGTCACTGCAGCTTTCCGCTGGAGAGAGAACACAACACACGCACACATCGTGATTGTAACTGACTCAGAAAGCATGCGGAGGAAGATCGGGACAGGCATGCTTCACTGCAGAGGACACGGGTGAGGAGTATTGTCTGGATTTTTTCACTGGAAAACGCCAGTGTGTTGGAAAATGAACATGCGGACAGACTGGCTGGCTCTGCACAACTTGGTGGAATACTAATGCATGATGCACAAGGTTAGTGCCTTGTGGGAGAGTGTGTACAGTTCAGAGGAGCAGATGGATCCCCAGTCTGGTAAGATTGATGCAGAGGGAAGTGACGAGATGTTCTGGCAGATGCTCGAGGCTCAGAGGGAAGGCAAGACAGACATTTAATCAGTATGCTACTGGCACCATTAGTATCGGAACTGTTTGTTAGCTGCTGAAGATGGGGACGAAGCGCTTATGGGAATGCCAGAAGACTGTGATGTCAGTTCTTGAATCAAATCAATCAATCAATCAAGTTTTGGGCTAAACCTTCAAAAAAAAGTGTGCCATCTGATAACTATGCGTTTTTTTTTTTTTTTTTAAACAGTACAGAAAGCTATAAAAATTAAAGCAGAGTACAGAATACACAACTAACCTACTGGCCAAGATATGCTGTCTCTGCCACCAGGCGCAAACTGGCTCATGTACAAGATGTTGTCCTTCATTTCCTGAATCTGGTGTCTGGTGTCGTTAAGCTCCACCTCACAGAAGTATCTGTTACAAATATCAAGTGGGATTAGTTAATGAAACTGAAAACTCTAGGGAACTGTATATATTGTTGAAAAAAAACCTGACAACAATTTAAATAAAATGTCTTTGCACCAGAACCCACACACACAAAAACATGAAGAAGGGAACTAGAGAATTAAGTTCAAAAATTGGGAGGACATGTGATGAACTGCATGCAAATAGCAAAGGATAGAATAACTTGGTGTGAGTTGGTTGAAGGCCTATGCTCCATTTGAGAATAATGGGCAGAAAAAGAAGACATGTATGGTAGGCTATAATTTCATTATTCTTTGCCTCTTTTACATTTCCAGGAATGTTCTGAGCATATTCCATTCATTTCCCTCCCAATCTCACCACTGCACTTCAAAACCTATTTTACGACTACCTGTTCTTATTTCTGGACAAGCCTCATGATCTGAAAAGTAACCCTTTTTGGATCTATTCATCTCCGCACATTACACATTTATACATCTTTATACTGAAATATTGGGGGAAACCACATCATACTCCCATCAATAATTTTATGAGCAGGTCATAAATCTGTGAAAGGACATATTTCTCATGAATACGTTTATGTGCAAATCCTAAATCAGGAATATAAAAGTGACAATGTGAAACTGCTTACCAGTATTCAGCAAGAATAATATGACACACAAATTATAAAATGCAGTTAACACTGCTAGCTGATTTGACGACGTTAAAATGTGTTAGTCTGTGTTTGCTGCTGAAAGCTTGTACCACATCCTGGTTTGATTTTAAAAGGGCTGAAGATTCTTTTTCTTAAAGTCCATGCCGTGTGGCTTTGGTAGTTATGTCTATCCACAACCTTCTGTCTTGGGTACTTTCAATCAACTCTGACACAGATTATCCTCCAAGCCATGATGTCAGACTGTCCAGCATCCTTTCTCCCAGTCTCCCTCTGCCTCTCCTCCCCCTCTAACTTTCCTATTGTCACAATGTACTCCAGTTTTCTCCTTCTCATCATACAACCAAAGAATTTAGATTGTTTCCTTCTGATGTGGGCAATCAGTTCTCTTTGTGAGTCAGTTTCTTTCCTCATTACTCTTTTTAGGGTATTCTCATCATTCGTCTATAAAACCACATCCCCGCAGCACCCAAATAATTTTTCGCTAATCTACCAACTGTCCATTATTCACGTCCATATATCAAAAAAAAGGATTTATATAGCTTTTAAGAATTATCTTTCTTGTCTCAATTGACTAAGAAAGATTGCACAACATATTCTTCATTTTGTAAAATGCTGCCTTTGCTGTAGCTATTCCACAGTTAACTTCTTTAATAAATCTTCCACCTGATGTTATCAGAGTACCCAAGTACTTAAACAAATCAATTTGTTTGAGGTTTGTCCCACTTATTTTGATGCTGCATTTTGAAGGGTCAGTTTTCTTTGTAATTACCATTTCTTCTGTTCTAGGTAAAGATTACACTTATGGAATCATGACTTATCAAGGGTCGCTGTGGTGTAGCGGCTTGAAGCTCATCTGCTGATCAGAAGGTCATGGGATCGAGTCCTGACTGACGACTTTTTTTTAAAATGACCATAAATGGATGGATTTTTGTCCACTGTCTAAAAAACTCAGCTATTTAAACTACAGCACATACAGAATGCAGCTATGAGGGTCATTTTGGGATGTACAAGAGACACTCCTTTATTGGGTATGCAATACATCCTTGGTCTTTTGACTGCTGCAGGTAGGCTCAAGGTGCTGCAGGTCATACCTCAGAGAAGTTGCAGACACAGATCACCTTTCACAACAGGTCCTTGGTGTAGTTTAGGGTCTGCAGCTGATAAGAGAGGAGTCATGGATGGCTTAGGCGGAGGACACGATCAGACAGGTTTGCACCCTGGAGAACATTAGGTGAGGAGAGAAGTGGGTCAGAGAGCCAGCAGAACAGTCAAACTTTTGTAGAGTCACAATAATATTGAGCCCGGAGTGCAGGGATTGGCCAGCAGGTTCCATTGAGCTGGAAATTCAGCAATTTATTCAGGATAATGCTGGCTCGGGTCATGTGATTATTTATACAGATGGTTCAGTGTCAAGAGGCAAAAGAAGTGCCTGGAAGTATTTTAGCAATAGGGAATTTGTGGAGGTCAAAAGAAATTAAAAGAAATACTAAACTAAAATTTTTTAATTCTAATGTCAAATCAGTACTACTGTATGGGGCGGAAACATGGAGAACAACCAAGGCAATTATTAATAAATTACAGACATTCATTAACTGGTGCCTGCGCAGAATAGGGGGAATAAAATGGTATGATAGAATAACTAATGTAGAACTTTGGGAGAGAACTAAACAGGCTCCAGTGGACCAAGAGGTGAGTAAAAGATGCTGGCGTTGGATAGGACACACACTGAGAAAACAGGAGAACAGCATAACTAGAATGTCTTTGCATTAGAACCCACAGGGGTATAGGAATAAAGGAAGGCCAAAAAAGACATGGAGAAGAGAGCTGGAGAATGAGGTTAAAAAGACTGGGAGGACATGGGGAGAGCCCCATGTAATGGCGAAGGATAGAACGACTTGGCATGAGTTGGTTGAGGGCCTATGTTCCATTGGGGGATAGAAAGGCAGAAGAAGAAGAAGAAGAATGGTTGACATTTGGTGCAGAAGAGGTAGCCTATGATACAACAACATCCAGCTTAAGAATGGAGGTGGAGGTGGTCACTGCAGCTTTCCGCTGGCTAGAGAAAATGATACATCATGATTGTAACTGACTCAGCTGGCATGCAGAGGAAGGTGAGGACAGGTATGCTTCATGCAGAATGGCAAGCTTTGCTCCATAGGTCAAGGGCGAATAGAGCTGTCTAGATCTTTCCTCTAGGTCATGCCGGTGTGTTGGAAAATGAACAGGTGGGCATATTGGCTGGCTGTGCCCAACTTGTTGGAATACTGATGCATGATAAGGCAGATGTGGTTAAGGCTTTATGTGAGCAAGTGTACAATTTGGAACAGAAAATTGATCATACAGTCTAGTGAGACTAATGTAGAGAGGAGTGACATGGGGATCTGGCTGATACTCGACACTCAGAGGAAAGGCAAGACAAAATGAACGAAAGAACAAATCTTATTTTCAAACTAGGCACGATGGACATATAATCAGACTCCTACCGGCACCATCGATACTTAAATCTGCTTTGGCTGCTAAAGATAAGGGCCTAGCACTTACGAGAATACCTCGAGTGCTGTGATATCGGTTCTTGAATCAACTTAACTCAGCTCATGAGATGCCTCATTAAGGGATAGTGGATCTATTCTTTTTCCCCTCAAAATGAAACCTTGAACCCACACTGGGACTTCTTACTTGACATGAAAACTTGTATGCCTTATATAATTGTATGAATCAAGAATTCACATGAATGCACTTGGGATATTTCCATAAGTGCTCCACCCCCTTCTTCTAGCCAATGAAAAGTTCCAATACTGATGATGTTAGCTACAGTCAGATTGAACGTTTGTCTTACTTTCTTCCTGTGGGAAGAAAATCGTCCAGACCTCTGATCCCTCCCAGCTGAATCATTATGTCCAGATACAGATGCTCTTTCAGTTCTGTTTACCTGACCCCAAAGAGCATTACTATGTCCGTTTTAACTAAAAGTTGGTCGCCACCCAGAGCTAATCTATTAGCCTGCTTTTGCCATGCACTCTTAAATGCCCTGGGCAAAAAATCCACTATATGCTTCTTATTTGAATCTTATCAAGCGATGCAATTCACAGTGAATGCTAAACACCAGCTTCGGTAATAGTTACATTGGTCTCACCACCAACCACCCATAAACACACTAGCTGACTTCTGATAGGTCGACCTTCTGCCTAGCTAGCTTCTGATTGGTCGATCTCGAGCCATGGGACCTTGGGTCACTTTTACGGGGGTGTTCCGCAATGCCATTGACATCACGTGTTGTATATTTCACCGTGCCAGAGGTGTTAACACTCCAAAAACATTGACAACTGGGTCTAACACACAACCCCTTTGTCACAGGCAGTTTCTTTCTCGGAATAAAAACGTAAATGCAAGACAACAACAGACGGCCACACCCATAACCTCGACCACGGTAGACTAGTCCAACTTATCAATGGAATTGACCTTGACCAACTTTCTGTAGGGAGACCAACATTTATTTCAATAATCCCAGTTTCTATTTTTAGAAGCATGCTCTGCAAATCAGTTATAATTACAAATTTTAACCATCCTGTCACCCTCTCTGCTTAGACATAATAAATAGACACCAAATTATTTTGTTTGATGGTTAATAAGCTAACCTGTGGATCTTATAGTGAGCTGTTTCATCTGGCATAGGAAAAACAGACAGGGACTTGTTGAATTCAAGCTGCTCCTTCAGAGCATCTATGTCCTTGTCAAAGCTGAAGTCCTTTACTGGGTAGACGTAGTAGGCTTTGTTCTGTAAAGTGTTATTTAAAAAAAAAAAAATTATGGGTAACAAGGTCATTTTTGATAAATATATCACAGGTTAGAGAAGCAGCTGGCCAAATGACTAGAAAGCATGGTTCTCTTTTGCAGGAGACCTGAGTCTGAATAAGTATTTTATTTTTTCTGTCATGGGAAAAGGTAAACATCCTAATCTAAACAGTTTGCGGTGATTGTACTAGCCATTTAAATCCTTAGGCTTAAGACCCTTCTGTTGTACTGCCAAAAAAGAAAAATAAAAGCTTCCATTACTTCCTGTATTTACCACTGTTGTTGTGTAGGCAGAGTTAGCTATACACACATGCCGTGATTGTAACTGACTCACAAAGCATGTTGAGAAAAGTGAAAACAGGCATGCTTTGTGCAGAGTGGCAAGCCCCACTTCAGAGGTCCCAGGTAGTTAGCATCCTTTGGATATTTACTACCAATTCTGATGGTGTGATGGGAAATGAGCAGGCAGATAGACTGGCTGGCTCTGTACCACTAGTGGTGAACTGATGAATGACAAGTTAGATATTGTGAGGGCCTTTTGGGAGCGAGTGAACAGTGCAGAGGCGCAGATAGATTATTATGGTCTAAGGAGAATGGTGCTGCGAGGAATTACCAGGGGATCTGGCTGACGCTCAACACTCATGGGGAAGGATGAGATGGATATACAATCAGATGGTTACTAGTACCATCAGAATAGGAACTCTTCGCTTGCTGCTGAAGATAAGGACTGAGCATTTAAGGGAGTGTCCTGAGTGCTGTTATGTGAAGTCACCATGGACTGTGCAGTGTAGGATTTTATTTTTGCCCCTGAAAGAAAACAATTCACAACCTTACCAAGGATTCGAACCTGGATCTCCTGTATTCTTCACCAATCAGCCAGTCACTCCTCCCTACTAGACTACACTGTCCTAAAAAGTGGTATTCACAGGCGGTAACAGCATTTATTTATTTTTTTAAAATACTTAATATTGGTATATTTCTGTCAAGCAACTGATGTATTGGGCATTTGCTGCTAGACATATATTTTATATACAACAGAGTATTCAATAGGTGATCTAGTCAATATCATGCTAGCCACCTTTACTTTCCAGTTCAGTTCCTGGTATCCATTTTAGGCTAGGCTGGCCTCAGAGCATTTGGTCATAACAGAAATGTGTACATACTTTTGTAATAATATAGTGTATGTTGGGAACATTGTCATAAATGTACATTTTACCCCTTAAAATTGGAAACATTTTACAAGCAATAAGTTGCATGATGATTATGAGTTTCACCATGATCATGTGCCTGGAAGACTGGTGTGGGCAGTCATAATTCTTTACATCTTTTAATCTCCAACAGTAAATATCAGTTTGTGCACTGAAACCCTTTCATGTCATCCTAAAAGAATCTTCTCTGGTTTTCTTTCTCTGTCTTCCCTTTCATAAATCTTTTCAGTTGCCACGACATATTTCAGTTAATTTATTATACTGTAGCCAACAACACTATAAGTGCCTTTTTCTAAATTTTTTTTTGTTTGTTGTTGGTTGGATTTGATGTTTTGGGATGTTGAGCTTTTTTTTTTTAAACACATTGATTGCCTAAGAAATTGTACACATTCCTTTATAAAAACACATTGATTGCCTAAGAAATTGTACACAATCCTTTATAAAACACATTGATTGCCTAAGAAATGGTACACATTCCTTTATAAAACACATTGATTGCCTAAGAAATTGTACACATTCCTTTATAAAAACACATTGATTGCCTAAGAAATTGTACACAATCCTTTATAAAACACATTGATTGCCTAAGAAATTGTACGCATTCATTTATAAAACACATTGATTGCCTAAGAAATGGTACACATTCCTTTATAAAACACATTGATTGCCTAAGAAAGTGTACACATTCCTTTATAAAACACATTGATTGCCTAAGAAATGGTACACATTCCTTTATAAAACACATTGATTGCCTAAGAAATGGTACACATTCCTTTATAAAACACATTGATTGCCTAAGAAATGGTACACATTCCTTTATAAAACACATTGATTGCCTAAGAAATGGTACACATTCCTTTATAAAACACATTGATTGCCTAAGAAATGGTACACATTCCTTTATAAAACACATTGATTGCCTAAGAAATGGTACACATTCCTTTATAAAACACATTGATTGCCTTAGAAATGGTACACATTCCTTTATAAAACACATTGATTGCCAAAGAAATTGTACACAATCCTTTATAAAACACATTGATCGCCAAAGAAATTGTACACAATCCTTTATAAAACACATTGATTGCCAAAGAAATTGTACACATTCCTTTATAAAACACATCACTGAGGCTTCAAGAAATTTTCCAGTTTGGTTACAGAGTGTTCAGGATTCACAGCCATTCATTTTGATGTAACTTTAAATAAAAACCTTAACAGTGTGATGGGAATTACAGCAACCATGCCACTGACTTGCAAACTGTCAATACTGTTCAGGATTCAAAAGTGTCAAGCACATAACATCATGGTGCACGTAAACATGGTGATGTCATCATGACAATAAGATAAGTTACAAAAGTATCATCCCTTATTAAAGTAACAAATTACAAGAAAACACGCAGGGAAATATTTCTAAAAAAATAATGCTGGGTAGCACATCCCAAACTGACTATCCCCTAGACAATCAACTAAGTTTTTAAAAGAAACATGTCTGTCATTTGAAGAACTTTTCTATGTCCCTATACACAAATGCTTTATTACCTAGGAAGCTCCAGGTTTACTGAAAAGAAACAGAAGAAACAAATATTTCAAACAGATAAACTATCAGTCATCCTAGAGACTAGGATCAATATTTCCTTTGAAGTCAGAGTAAGGAAACAACAGACTGCATATGTCTGCAAAAAAGGACACACACACACAAAACTAAACTCATGTCTGAAACAAAACCCATGTCCAGAAATGGGTGAACAACCAGCTGCCAGAGTTTACAGTTGGTGAATGCAAACAACACAACAACAGATGCTCAGGATGGTATACAATAAAAAAAAAAGACACAATGATAAATTATCTGTGAACTTACCCCTGATGTGCTTTGACACTCTAAGTCTGTGACATGCAGTAGACATTTTCCCAGGTTTAAACTCTGATCCAAGTGATGACAGCTATCTGCACACCACTTTATACTAGCATTGACTTGTGCCAGGATGGACTAGAAATAGAAATAGCAAAAATTATGTAAATATATCAATTACTGGGGGTGGCTGCTGCTGCTGCTGCTGCTTCTTCTTCTTTTTCTTCTTCTTCCTCTTTTTTCTTCTTCTTCTCCTCCTCCTGAGTTCATCTTTAAAACTGAAGTTTCCTCTTAGACCTACTACCTCCCTAAAAAGCATGTCCTAGGAGTCAACTGATTGGGGGTATCCATCAAAGTGGGAGTACATCTACCTGAGAGGCAAGGAACCAACAGTCTGCATACATATATGCCAGACCTGTGAAACGGGTGTGCAAGAAACTTAGGTTCTGCAACAAGATTAAAGTCACAGGTGGACAAACACTCTGAACTTTCCTCTGGAGTTTACAGATGGTGAAACCAAAAAAAAAGAAAAGGGAGGCTGACACACTGTATTGTGGTTTACAGATAGACTGTGGTATCTGCACCTTTAGGTTTAACACATCCAATTTCAGCAAAATCCTAATTAGCCACCTTCTTGTTGTGGGCACTGGGTCTATTCTTTTTCCCCCTTATAAAATGAGGCCCTAAAAACCTGCTTAGGATGGCAGGTTCCAATTGAGTTTATTCTTTATTCCTAACTCAAAATAAAGTGTTTCAAAGAGAATATTTGTATTAGTTCAATTTATTCTACATTCATACATTCTATTTTTTTTTTAATTAAGTTTAAAAAAAAAAGTAAAGCTCCTTTTCAAAGCTGTGAGAAGTATTAGAAATAGGATAGTGCCATATATTTGTATATATATGTGGTACTCAATGGGTGATATCGTCAATATCATGCTTTAACTTCTCAAACTTTATCAGGTATTGATTTTAGGTCCTTCAAGTAAGAGACGAGGCGTGACTAATTCGCATGTGTAAGCGTTAGAAAGTAACAAGTGAACTCGAAAGGGTATCACATGACAGTTTTCTCTTTGTCACTTCGCAGTTAAGAGAATGCACAAACAGCTAGCTCTGAAGTATTGGTAACTGGCATCTTTTAAACGTTCGTTTCTTTATGAGTGGCATAAGCATGCAGCCAAGCGTTCTTAACACTGTGTTCAGTACATAAACCTAGCGCCGTATTTGTAATAAACAGTGAACAGTAATAATAAATAGCAAAGTAATGCCTTTTTCTAGTGCCACGGTTTATGGTTTGGTTTATTCAACGGATCAGTATCATGGCACACGGGTATAACCCATAAGTGCTCCATTCTACTTTTAACTTAAACCTGAGTCTAAAGAATGGCAGCGCAGTGCACGAATTCCGTTGCACCGGCAAGGATCCTGAAATACTTTGGGTAGCTTTTTAATTCCAATTTTTGCCCAGGCAGCGCCATTAGGCTACTCTCTTTCGATTACCAACTTCTAAGGGATTTTTTTACGTAAGCAACAATTCACACGATCGTCCGTTCTTACTGCCTAAAGACCAGGGGAAATTGCTTGAAGTCCACGTGAGAAAAAAAAAAACTTAGCCTTCACTGGGGTTTAAACCCGGAACCTCCAGCACTCGAGGCGGATGCCATACCTGGAGATCACTGAGCTTCCCCCCCCCCCTAATCCTTTTTTTTTTTTGGGGGGGGGGGGGGGTCATGAAAAGTGTAAACAGTAAATACAGCCGTTTAATGAATGCCTTGCCATTACTTCATGTTCAACTTTTCATCTTTAGTATCTATTCGTGTAATGTGCGGAGAAAGGCTTTTTATGCGCAACGTTCACTTGTCGTTTGTATTAGTGACAATATTAAGCTGACGAATCTACTTTTTTTATCAGGTTTGATATTTTTTTTTTCTTTTTTAGGTAGATTTGACCAGGCATGTTTTGTTTTTGTTTTCTACACCGCACCAAGAACTGGGTTAAAACACATTAGAATCAAGCCAGCAAGCAAATGTGCTAAAATCTGCCCTACTGTAGTTTGACAAATGAATGACATAAAGTAATTGCACGATACTTTTCCTACACCACAGCTGCAATATTTGTGTACCAACCCATTTTACTTGTTCCCAGAATTTATTAAATGGGTTAGCCTTTCTAGTATATCAGTATTTTAAAGATGTATCATTGCTTTGCGACCACATCACGTAAAATTTAGGGACATCCCATTTTATAGGGGGTTAGGGTCAGGGTTAGTGTTAAAATAAATGGCGACTACTACTAACCCGTCGGCTCTGTGGCTAAGTCGATGCGAACGCTTGGCTTCGTAATGCCGGGATGCCAGGTTCGATCCCAGCTGCGGGCAATGCGACAGTGGTATCAAGAAAGCCGACTGTTCAGCAGGCAATGGCAAACTACTGAATGTAAATTGCCTAGAGAAACCACACAACAGCCAGGGGCTGTTAGGGTTAGTTCTGCAACGTCCTGTAAAGGATACGCAACTAACTACTACTACTAACCCTGACCCTAAATCTTGCGTGATGTGGTCGCTAAGCAGAAAAGAACCTATCATTGTGGTGTGGGGACCGCTGCTGTGTAGCGGCTAGACGCTCGCCTGCGGATTGGAAGGTCGCAGGTTCAGATCCTGGCAGAGGCGGACATTTTTTTCCCCACAAAAATGACCATGGTCCCCATGTCAACCCAGCCTTAAATGGGTAACAGATAAGTCTTGGAAAGTAAAGGCGGCCGGCGTAGTGTTGACCACTTCACCCATCTAGTCCGAGTCTAAAAAATAAAAGTCTAGCCCTACATGCCCAATACGTGTGAAAGAGGGTCTTTTACTTCACTATCATTGTGGTGTATCAGGTACAGCATCATGGTGGCCTGTGAAGAGCGGTAATGGGGGGGGGGGGTACAGTTTCGGGTAAACGAGGCAGACTTCCGCGAAAGTGGATAGAAGTCACTAAAGATGCACTGGCTATGAAAGCACATAGGGCTGGAGAATCGGCTAGAGAAAGAGGGACTTTCATGCATGTCGTGAAGAGAGCGACGTTCTGTAAAAGACTAGCTGATTGACTGATTGATCACTGTGGCGAGTCATGGTTGTGTTGTAGTTGGTGTGCTTTGGGTGTGCTTGTCTGGCAAGACCAAGACTCGTGTTTAATTCCCCGCAGTGATTTCTCCGACCAAAACAGCTTTGGAGTAGATAGGTACCAGATAATTTTCTGGACAATGTCTGGGAAAGAAAGGGTGGCGAGAAGAAAAACTAGAACCAGGACCTCGTTATACCATGACCTTTAATATGTGTACTTCCCACCCCAAAGGCAACATAAGTTAAGTTAAGGTATTAATTTCGTCAAAGCATTTGGAAGTAATTCATACAACAACCAATTCATTCAACAACCACCCTCACCCCGCACCCTATTTCCTCAAAAAACATGATCAAGGAGCTGTGGAAGAAAGAAAGAAAGAAAGAAAGAAAGAAAGAAAGAAAGAAAGAAAGAAAGAAAGAAAGAAAGAAAGAAAGAAAGAAAGAAAGAAAGAAAGAAAGAAAGAAAGAAAGAGAGAAAGAAAGAAAGAAAGAAAGAAAGAAAGAAAGAAAGAAAGAAAGAAAGAAAGAAAGAAAGAAAGAAAGAAAGAAAGAAAGAAAGAAGAAAGAAAGAAGAAAGAAAGAAAAGAAAGAAAGAAAGAAAGAAAGAAAGAAAGAAAGAAAGAAAGAAAGAAAGAAAGAAAGAAAGAAAGAAAGAAAGAAAGAAAGAAAGAAAGAAAGAAAGAAAGAAAGAAAGAAAGAAAGAAAAACACATTTCTGCACTAAACCTAAATACTAGGCTAAGGTGCAAAAGCCATATTTCTTACTGGATTCACAAGCTTACAAGTTGGAGAAAGGAGTGTCGGTAGATTATGGGCCAAAGCACTTTAAAACACGGAAATGGGCTGAGTGTGTACACGATATCAATGATGAAAGTTAAGGTATATGGCAAAGGCGCTGACACCAAGAATATACTGGGGCGGAGGGGGAGCAGCCGATCAGTCCCTAGCCACCCTCCCACCACCCCCACCCCTCCACCCCCGGTCTTGCAAACTGTATAGGCAGGCAAGAAGGGTGCTCAATGGGCTTGTGTGTGTGTGTCGCATTTGTGTGTCTGTGAGTGTGCATCTGTGTGTCTGTGAGTGTGCATCTGTGTATTTGGGTCTGTTTGTTTCTGTGGGTGTGTCTGTGTGTGCATGAGTGAGTTTGTATGTATGTATATATGTGTGTGGAATGTGTGGATCTGTGTGGGTAGGTAGGTATGTATGTGGGTGAGCGAGGGTGTGTTTATGTTGGTGTGTATTCGTGCGTGTTTAAGTGAGTGGGTGTGTGGGTGTGCGCGCGCGCGCGCGTGCGCCAGTGTGTGCATGCATTTTACCGCCCATGCTTTTGTATGTGTGTGTTATTTTTTTTTTAAATATTTTTTTATATTCACAATATGCATATTATCATATGAATATAACAAGGTTAGTTGCGTATCCTTTACAGGACGTTGCAGAACCAACCCCAGCAGTCCCTGGCTGTTGTGTGGTTCTTTTAGGCAAATTTACGTCCAGTAGCTTGCCATTGCTACTGGACGGTCGGTTCCCTGATACCACTGTCGAAACCAACGCAAAGCGCATGGCCCGCAGCTGGGATCGAACCCGTCACCCCGGCATTTCAAAGTGTTCGCATCGACTTAGCCACAGAGCCGACCGAATATAACATAATAATTGATAAAATACATCTGCAGTGTGAAAGACGGAAAGGCCAAATGTAAGACATGCCTGCGTGTCCAATTTGTGACCCTTCGAAAATAAAGTCTGTTCGTTGGTTTGTTCGATCGTTCGTTATAGTTGAAGAGCACAGCGCACTCCTGCACGCACACAGATAGACATACATGTATATACACATATACATTCACTCAAGCATACTTAACCCACTAATTCATACATTCATATATATATATATATATATATATATATAATATATATATATATATATTATATATATATATATATATATATATATATATATATCATACAACAACTTGTATGCACAAACACATTTTTCGAAAGAGACACTCATGCATGCATGCATGCACACACATATATATATATAC